GGATGGTGGGTTGGGGACACTTTGGGGTCACGCTTGGGGACACTGTCCCCCACCCTAGTGGGGATGTGGGGGTGCCCTTGGCTTGGGGACACTTTGGGGACACATTTGGGGACACTGTCCCTGGCCACAGTGGGGACATGGGGGTGCCCTTGGCTTGGGGACATTATGGAGACACATTTGGGGACACTGTCCCCCACCCCACTAGGGACACAGGGCTTGGGGACAAGCCTGGGGACACTGTCCCCCACCCCAGTGGGGGACACAGGGCTTGGGGACAAGCTTGGGGACACTGTTCCCCGCCCCAGTGGGGACGTGGGGGTGCCCTTGGCTTGGGGACATTATGGAGACACATTTGGGGACACTGTCCCCCACCCCACATGGGGACACACTTGGGGACACTGTCCCCTGTCCCAGTAGGGACACAAGGTTTGGGGACACTGTCCCCTGCCCATTGAGGACGTGGGGGTGCCCTTGGCTTGGGGACATGATGGGGACACACTTGGGGACACTGTCCCCTGCCCTAGTGGGGTTGTGGGGCTGCCCTTGGCTTGGGGACACACTTGGGGTCACTGTCCCCCACCCCAGTGGGGACATAGGGCTTGGGGACATTGTTGGGGACACTTGGGTGACACCATCCCCTGCCCCGGTGTGAGGTGGGTGTCCCCTCAGCCTGGGGACATGCCTGTCCCCTACCCTGGGGGTCCCCTTCTTTGGGGGACACGCTCTGGGGTGACACTTGGGGGTGTCCCCTCCGCCTGGGGACCCGAGGTGACACTGGGGTCCTCTGAGTGCCACCAAGGACCTGTCCCCCATTCCTGGGGGGACACGGGGTCACTTTAGGGGGGGTCCCTGGGGGTTGGGGACGTGTGACACGTGTCCCCAAGTGTCCCTGCGGGTTGGGGATGTCCCCCACACGCTGGGAGGTGACACGGGAGGGGGGACATCGGTGTCCCCTCGACTTAGGGCACTGCTGGGGACCTGTCCCCTCCCCTGGGGTGACCTGGGTGGCCCCTGGGTTTGGGGACACGGGGGGGGGA